GTCCATATGGTGTCTCTCTTGAAGTTACAGGCACACCTCCTTTTTGTTTTTGTTTTTGTTTTTCAAGTTAGGGTTTCTCTGTGTAGCCTTGGCTATTCTGGAACTCCCTCTGTAGACTAGGCTGGCCTTGAACTCACAGAGCTCTGTCTGCCTCTGCCTCCCAAGTGTTGGGATCAAAGGCGTGCACTACCACCACTTGGCACCCCCTTCTTTTTTTCTTTTTTTTTTTCTTCTGGAGCTGAGGACCGAACCCAGGGCCTTGCGCTTGCTAGGCAAACACTCTACCACTGAGCTAAATCCCCAACCCTAGCACCCCCTTCTTATAATGCTTCTTGACTTTCAGCTCTAGGCTCATGTCTGTGGACCCCTCACTGCATCCCCGAAACCATGTAAGGGATACCTGCAGTTTCTGGATAATTCCGGGCCCAGAGAACACACAGGAATTACTTGGATTTGCTCCACAAGCCCCTGGTAGATTGGGGATCCTGGCACAGGCCTGGGCCTATCCAGTATTAGGGTGACCAGTGCACATGGCAAACACCCCAGGCTTACCTTGGAGCTTCTGACCTAGACCATTTCTTCTGGTGAGTGAATTCCAAGCCCATTTATTAGGAATTCAGTATGGGATTTGGCCTGTGGGAAACAGTGGTAACAGGCCCTCTGTGGTACTGATTTCTCTCTTTCTTTTTTCTTTTTTTGGTTTTTTCAAGACAGGGTTTCTCTGTGTAGTTTTGGTGCCTGTCCTGGCTCTTGCTCTGTAGACCAGGCTGGCCTCGAACTCACAGAAATCCACCTGCCTCTGCCTTGAGAGTGCTGGGATTAAAGGCATGCACCACTACCACCAGGCACAGTCAGTGCTTTTAACCAGCCCTCATATTTTAAAAAACGTGTGTGTGTGTGTGTGTGTGTGTGTGTGTGTGTGTGTGTGTGTGTGTGTGTGTATAGGCCAGAGGACAATCTCAGAGGTCATTCCCAGGAGCTGTTAACCTCCAGACAGGATATCTCATGGATCTGGAGCTCACCAATTAAACTACGATGGCTGACGAGGAATCCTCAGCTTATGTGGTGCTGCGGACTAAAGCCAGAGCTTGAGCCATGCTTGGCAAGCACTCTACCAACCCAGCTACATCCCAGGCCTCATCCTTCTTTATGAAGGAAAAAATGACTCCCTATCACTTCCTGCTCCATTTCTAGGCAGCTGCCTTGCGCCACTGTATCATTGCTGATGTGTGGCCATACAATCCCCCTTTACACACACACCCTCACACACACATACCCTTACACACACACCCTTACATACACATCCCTTCTTACACACCCTGACACACACACACATTCCCCCTTAACACACACATCCCCCCTTACACACCGAAAGAGACTACCTAGCGTCCAGAGAGTTTCTAGGAACAGACCACAGTTTGCCTCAGGGACTGTGTGTCCAGCTCTGGCCCGAGAGAAGTTTGCCCATGGGGAACGGTCCTACCCGGAGCCTGCAACCACTCTGCAGGCGGCTCCTGGCAAGTCCCAACAGGTTGGCAAGTGGGCTGGCAGGCAGGAAGAGGGCTGCCCTCTGCTTGCTCCAGAGTCTCTCCCTGCTCTAATTTACTCAATCCGTCTGGGGCTCCTTTGAGCCATTTTCTGGAAATGCCGCATTTCAAGGATCTCCCTGTTAGGAAAGGTCAGAGAGTTCATGAGGGCCTTTCATGTTAAAGGAACTTGAAAGGAAAGGAGAGGAAATGTGTATTTTCAGCCTTAGCTATGATTAAGTGGGCTCAGGCCATGAGAACAGTCAGATGATTTACATGGCATTACATGAAGAGCCAATTAGCCTAACAACTTCCGAAAAATATCTAGCTCACAAGCACCCATTTATTAGAGCCCTGGAATGTGCCAGGCTTTGTGCGGAACTCTTTACTAGGAGACAGTGATTCACCCAGCCTCACACTAGCATGAAGGAGAGGCAGGCCTAGATCAACACCCAGGTCCCCCGGGGTAGAAACTCCAGGGGGGTCCTTTGACTCCTGCCTCTGAGGCCCATCAAATTCACCTGGTTCATTTACATAACGATGAAGTCTGTTTGGTTCTTACCACTTGTGGCTTGGCCACAGAAAATTTGGATCTCCCCCACAGCTAGACTGGTCCTCCAACTCTCTGGGAACTTCCACGGGAGTAGCCACCAAAGGGCTTGGCCGCTGAGACACATTTTGAGAGAAGATCCCCTTACCCCTTTGAGACAGGGTCCTATGTAGTGGGTCCAGGATGACCATGAACTTCTGACCTCCCTACATATGTCTACTGAGTTCTAGAATTGTAAGCATGAGCCACCACCCTCAGTCTATGTGGGATCAAACCCAGTGCTTCCCCCATGCTAGGCAAGCATTCTACCAACAAAGCCACACCCCTAGCCTCTAGTCCTCTCCATAGCCTTTCCATGAAATAAGAATCATCCTCAAAATCAGGATCTTCTATTAGCCATTCCTGGTTCCTCAGCATTTTGTTTGCCAATGCTACACAACCAATAAGAAGTTCCTTCCCAGCACTCCGATGGCAGAGGCAGGCAGATCTCTGTGAGTTGGAGGCCAGCCTGGTCTCCAAAAGATGTTCTAGGACAGCCAGAGCTACCCAGAGAAACCCTGTCTTGAGAAACCCTTTCTCTGAGACCTGACTGGGATCTAAGTGTGGCAGTCAGTTAGGTTCTGGACTCTGACCACCAGGAGCTGGAAGCTCAGCTCAGCACCCTCATTTGGAAGCTGTGACACCTTGGGTGACTCACACAACCTCTCTGAGCTTGAGTTTCCTCATTAGTAAAATGGGGACAATTGTCCCTGTGTTGCAGGGTTCAGTAATGATTAAATGAGATGATATGTGTGCAGCTAGCTCCTAAGGATGCTGGCAAACTGTAATCACTGGTATATGAAGCCATCTGTCAGGTGATAGTCAAGGAATTCGCTCTGTCTGGGCAAGGGGCTCCTGCGGGGGATACCTGCCCATCTATTTATTTATTTGTTTGTTTGTTTGTTCATTCGTTCATTCATTCATTTTCTTCAGACAGCACTTCACTGTGTAGCCCAGGCTGGGTTAGCTCTCCGGGTTAGCTCTCCAAACCCTGGGACTTTCCACACCCTGATGAATTCCACCACCCCCACCTCACCCACCCCCCCAGCCATCCTGACTGCTCCAGGTCCTCGGATCCCACTGTGCCTGTTCTCCTGCCCACCATCTTGTCTGAGTGCACAGTAGCGGCTCCTCAGCAAGCCTCTAGACTGAGCTCAGATGTGGATGTGAGCTCAGCCCTTCTACCCCAGGCCTCCCCCTCCTCAAGCTCCTGGTCTCCCTCACTCCTCCTAGTCACTGCTCATCAGGATGGGGTGAGGCTGGGAGCCAGGATCCCTCAGGGCAGTGGTTCCCAGGCTTGGGGGATTTCACAGCTCTATAAGTCGTCCAAAGACACTTGAGGGTGAGAGGGCGAAGAAATCAGGAAAAAGTATATTTTCTTTTGCCAAATAAGGGCATATAAAAAATTCCCTTTTCACCACCATTTCAGGACAGGCTATTGCACCAATAAAGTGGAAGCGCCTTGCTTGCTCTTTGATAAAAGGGCAATACCAAGCTAGGGGAAAAAAAAAATTATCGGGGGGGGGCGGGGATCACACGACCCCGTCCCTGACTTTTCTTCGTGGATAGAGAGAAATTTGACCCCCCAATGGCCTGTGTCAGTTGGGACATCATGGTCTGCCAACCAGCACGGAAGTGACTTTGCCAGAACTGGAGTCTCCCATAAACACAGGAGGATCCACAGTGCCTGGGTTTAAGATAATCTCAATTCCTGTGCAACTTTCTCAGAGAGGAGCTCACCCCAAAACCATCGCCGACAGCCTCGAAGCTGAGGTCGGGGAGGCCTCGCCGCCGTTCCTCTCCTGTAGCTTTCCACTGGAGCCCCTGCCCTCCCTCAATCTAGAGAGGATAGGGTCAAAATCAGCTGCAAGCTGGCACCTGCGGGAAGACTCGAGAGGCGCCAAGGGCGGGGTCTGCACCGCATCTCTATTGCCAAGCTGAGCACTAATGGCCAAGTCCCCCAGCTCTGGGGAAGGGGGAAATGGGCAACCCGGGCGGGAGCTGGAGGACCCAGAAGCCCCGCTGGCAGGGCGCTGATAGGATCTGAGCGCCGAGAAGCAAGGCTCTGTCTCTTTGATCCTTGGCCAGGCAGGCTGGGCCTGGACCGGGAGGGGCGGTGCGGCTGTCTTCCGGCCGGTTTGCGCCGCTGCCAGGGGTCCTGTGGGGCCCGGAGCCGGAGAGGCGGCTAGTGTCCTCCTCCACAAATTGCCCTCTGTTCCAACTGCTCTAGCAAGAGGTGGAAGGGTCCACACGGACTCCCAAACCGAGACGTGCTTGGGGCGGAGGTGTGTGCGCCTTCAGTTTACTGCATCGCTTTCCGAAGGGCCTAGTGTCTTGCAGAAGCAGTGGCCGGCCAAGGCCACCCGTGTCCTGGAGGTCCGCGTGGATACGGCCCTGGGTGCCAAGGAGATGCCACTGAAGACGCGGCCCTAACTAGCCTTAGGGTCAATGGGCTCCGGGATGCAACTTCTCGGATTGAGTTGCTGCCTGAAGAGCCCAAGACCGAATCGCGTGGCCCACGTGGCCGCCGGAAATCTTAGTTCCTGAGCAGCAGGTTCTAGGCTTCGAACTTAAGTTGGGAAAGTCTTGGCGGGCTGGTGAGTGCCTGGAGAACTCGCGTGCGTGGCCACGGTCCTTCCTCGTCCTCTGCGTCTCGGAGCCGCCACTTGTCATATATTTTCAGTGTTTGAGTTGCGCGTGCAACAGGCGCTCAATAAGCGTGAGGCGCGAATGCTTGTGCCTATGTTGGTGGGAGGTCTGGAATAAGGTCCCTGGTCGGAGCAGTGAAAGAGGCAGGGATGTGTGTGTGTGTGTGTGTGTGCGCGTGCGTGCGTGTGTGTGTGTGTGTGTGTGTGTGTGTGTGTGTGTGTGTGTGTGTGTCTGGGTCCAACCTGCAGCAGCCTGGACCCCTAGGAAGCCTCCAGATCAAGCACAGGACGCTGTTCACACCAGGGTTCCAAGCCACCTACATATCCCATGGGTCTTAAAAAAAAAAGTATTCTCCGCAGCTGGAGGAGAAACTCGGGCGCAAGTTGTGACTATCTTGTAGGTAAGGAAGCGGAGTCCTACAGTTACGCGATGGATTTCAGGCTGGGAATAGCTCGAGGAGAGCGAGCCCTTTAAGTCTATGCCCAGTAGGCCTGTCCGGGTCTCTCCAGGGAGAGGAGGGGCGGGGCCTGGCGCGCTAGCCCCTCCCACCTGGGCCCCGCCCCGGCGCCCGTCCCGCCCCCGGCTCTCTGCCCGCGGCGCCTTTGATGTTCCGACCCGCCAGCTCCCGAAGCCGCTGTGCCCCGCGCCCACTGGCCGCTCAGGCGGAGTCAGCGCGCGCTCCGCCCGCCGCGCTCCGGGCTCGGAGCTCCGCACCCTGGGCTCGCCGCCTCCCGGGCCGCCTCCGCGCCCCGCACCCGGCGCCCCGGCGGGCGCAGCGCACCATGCCGCAGCTGGACTCGGGCGGGGGCGGTGCGGGTGCAGGCGACGACCTCGGCGCGCCCGACGAGCTGCTGGCCTTCCAAGACGAAGGCGAGGAACAGGACGACAAGAGCCGCGACAGCGCCGCGGGCCCCGAGCGGGACCTGGCCGAGCTCAAGTCCTCACTGGTGAATGAGTCCGAGGGCGCGGCCGCGAGCGCCGGGGTCCCGGGTTCCGGAGTCCGGGTGCATGGAGAGGCCGAGGGAGCGCCCGAGGTGAGCCCGGCCCGCTCCTCCCCGGAGGGCCTCGTCCCGGGTTGGGATCGTGCGGACCCGCCCCCCCCCCCCCGCGCCCGCCGCCCTCGTGGGTTCCATCCCGGGATCCCCTTGTGTCTCCTCCGCCCCTCACGACCCGTCTCCTTCGCTCTGCAGGCCCTCGGACGAGAGCACACTTCGCAGAGACTTTTCCCGGACAAACTTCCCGAGTCCCTAGAGGACGGTGAGTTCTGCGCGGCTCGGCAAGGCGCTAGAACCCGGGGTGGGGGAGTGGGGGGCGGGTTTCCCGGGCGCCGCTGAGCTAGAGTCACTTCCGGTGCCCTGACCTTTATAGGAGTAAACAGACCCCCGCCATCTCCGCCTCCCCTCCAGCCCAGGTGACTGACTAATCCTTTGCCTTGGGGAGCAAGCCTTGGCTAAGGTTCCCAGGCGGAGGGCGGGGTGAGGAGTCAAGTCCCGGCCGCTAAGTGGAGGCCTGGACTCTGGGTCTTTCCCCCAAAACTTGGCATTGCGGATATTCTCACCCGTTCGCCGGTCAAGTCACGAACCTGAAGGGGACCCCTTGGCAGTTTTTTTGTGTTTCTCTTGATCAGACAGCTTTCAGCCCTTAGGAGCAGCTGGCTGGGCTGGTGTCTGACCCAGCTGTGGTTTTTCCAGGCCTGAAGGCCCCGGAGTGTGCCAGCGGCATGTACAAAGAGACCGTCTACTCTGCCTTCAATCTGCTCATGCACTATCCACCGGCCTCGGGAGCAGGGCAGCACCCCCAGTCTCAACCCCCGCTGGTAAGTGACCCCAGAAGTCAGGCACTGTAATGGACTGGCTACCTCCTTGCCTATGCAGATGAAGCTTGGACAAAAAGGGACTTCTGCCCGGATGAGAATTCCTAGATGCGCTTTTCCAGTTCACACTCAGTGGAGTCTGACCCAAAAGGAGAACTCTGACGTGCTTGCTCTCCGCTCTTTCTCCCCTGTGGTGGGCCTGTCTTTCTTCCCAGCTTGCTCAAGCAGGTGCCTGTGTTGGACCATGCTGGGGTTGGGGGTCGGGGTCTTCTGAAACCTGTTTGGAGTTGATATGCTTCCCTATCGTGATGTGCGTGCTTTGAATAAGAGCTTTGCGGTTAGCCTTCTCCAGAGAAGCAAGGTTAGCTTTCTCCAGGGAAGCAAGGGAGCTCGGGTGAGAAGAATGGGTCGACCTAATCTTTTCCGTTTCCTAGCTGTGCCTCAGGAGTTACCTTCACCGGTCCACTGTCCTTACTGGCCATACATAGGCCCTTGCTAGGGACCCTTGCCACACGGTGTGGGTTTTGAGCAGCCTGGCCTGGCCTCACACACACCAGGAAGAGTTTGCTAAAAGTGCTACAACTCACGAGTGTTGGTTAGGGGTCAGGCTTTGTGACGTGGTCGTGCTCATCGTGAGCCAGACCTTTGGCCCTTTGCTGCAGGTAAAGTGTGGCGAGCTGGTTCTGAGCTGGGTAGCAGCAAAACGCTGTTTTTGAAAAGTGCTGGTTTTCCGGACTGTCCTCAGTTGGGGATTAGGGTGTATGGAAAGCATGGAGGTCTGTTGGGTATAGCCACAAGCCCAGTGCAGGTTCCCCAGGCTAGAGGCTCTGATGGCTAGTCGCAGGGTCCATGGAGAAGACAGAATAACTACAAGAAGGGTCGTTCTAAAAAGCAGCTCCCTAGTGAGGCTGGTGGGAGGCGAGAAGATGGATGCAGGCTATTCTCCAGAAACAAGCTTTGCCTAAGGTTCCCTGCTAGGAGGGTGAGGTGGGGAGTCTGGGCCACTTAGCAGAGGAGAACCTGGTACCCTCTAGAGATGGACTCCCGTTCTTCACCTGTAAGCTGTGCGTGCCGGCTGTGCGGTCTGTCCGCCTGCCTTTCTGCTCTGGGGTGGCTTGGTGTCTGAAGTGCTTCTCTTGTATACGAAGAGGTGGCTGGCTCCGGACACTGTCACTTGCTCCAGAGACTTGTGCCTTGTACAAGCAATGCTTAACAAAGACAACCTTTTAAAATCCCCTAGTGGGTGTAAAGCCATTGAGCTGGGGGCCAGCTGGCATAACCTACCAGTTTGAAATCACTGGCAAGCATTATTTGGGCTGGGCCTAGGCTCACTGTGGTAACCATGAGTAGACAAAAGGCAGAGCCCCCCAGGATCTGCCTGGCAGGGCGGTCTTTCAGGACTGCACAGCAACACAGGGAGAGGGCAGTGTGATTTGGGGGTTCACTCATAGATTGAGCCAGAGACAGGAGATGCCTAGAGCTGCCAGTGGTGGGTGGGAGGGCTATTCAGCCTGCGGGTAAGGGTGATGGGACTGGGGAGGACCGTGAGCAGGGGAACGGTGGTGGGTCCCCACAGTCAGGACCAGTAGCACTCACCTAGCTTAGGGCTATGCGGACTTTTGTTTTGGAGTCCTTCTCGAGGTGCAGCAGATGGACAGCTGTGTGTCACTGTCCCCTGCCTGCCTTGTCAGCCACTGTCTTCTGGTAACACAGGAGGTGGAGGACAGGCTGTGGTACTGATTTTCTTGACCATGGCAAAAGCTCCTGAGCAGGGCTAGAAAGACAGAGGCAGGGGCTTGTATTGGAGGGGTGCTGGGTTAGGGGGATAGATGTACATGAGTGTAGAGAGACTGTCTTTTAGTGTGTGTGTGTGTGTGTGTGTGTGTGTGATGCATATGAGGGCATGCACACTCTGAGGATAACTCTGTGAAGTCTGTTCTCTCCATTCTGACATGGGTTCTGAGGATCTAACTCAGATCATCAGGGTTACACAGGGTTTTTAGCTGCTAAGCCATCTTCCTGGCTCGAGAGAGTCTCTTAAGCAAATCTGACAGAACACAGAGCAAATATAAGTTTAAAAAAAGTAAGAGTAGCTTGCAACCTGTGAAGTGTGGGTGTTTCAAGTAGAGTTTGGGTTTACAAAGCAAAGTTGGTCACCCCATGTTTTGGGAGCACATTGGTCACCTGACTTCAAGGCTCACTTGTGTGGTGCTGGGAAAGACGCCCTCATTCTCCTAACAGGTAAGGAGTGCCTTGCAAGGGCCCTGGGGCAGGGAGTCATTTGCCAAAGCTGATTCTTTCCCACACCCCTCTGTAGGAATACAGACAGTAAGCCACTCATGCCCTGCCGACTGGCCTTGGACACAGGCCTCCTCTCTCTTTACCCGGCCTTTCCTGAGGGCATACAGGAGATCAGTGGTTATGCTGAGATGCTGAAGACCAATGGGTAGACCTCCCTAGATATTAGGGAAAGCCTGCTCCAGGGAGCTTCTCTGCCCACGTGGCTACCACATTGGAGACATCTAAACAGGCCAGCTTGAGCCTTGCCCAGAGCAGTGAGCCAAATTCTGAGTCACAGCCAACTGCCGTGGAACACAGACTCTCACCTCTTGCCCAAGTAGCTTTTTTGGTGTTTTGGCGTCTTTTACACCTTCTCCAGGAATGGGAAATTGATCAAAGTTGACTCCTTCATCAGTGTTGGTGAGGCATCTCCTGTTGGCTTGTAGACAGTGGTCTGGACCAATAGCCGGGGATTGTGTGGGTTTTTGTTTCTACACACGCATGCATGCTGCTGCGTGTGTGTCGGCTCAGAGAACTTGGGGGAGCTGTTTTTCTCCTTCATGTGTGTCCCAGGGATCAAACTCAGGCTCTGGTGCCGGGCTGGGCAGCAGGCCTCCGCCTCTGTTTTGTCTTGTTTCCTCTGATTTCAGACTCAGAACAGGGTTGGGGTAGGGAGAGTGGGGAGTGAGCTGATGCACTAGGCTGGGCTCTGGGGGTGGGTGCTGGGCTGAGTAAGGTGTCATTCCTTAGGGAACCTCAGGCAAAGGGCTTTGCATGATGGTGCTATCCTGAACAGGACAGAGGCAGCATGAATCTTTGGCCCCTTCTGTGGGCTCTCTTGGTTGTTTTTTGTTGTTGTTTCGTTTTGTTTTTTGTTTTTCGAGACAGGGTTTCTCTGTGTAACTTTGGAGCCTGTCCTGGATCTCGCTCTGTAGACCAGGCTGGCCTCGAACTCACAGAGATCCACCTGGCTCTGCCTCCCTAGTGCTGGGATTAAAGGCGTGCGCCACCACCGCCCGGCTTTTATGGGCTCTTGTTGGAGCCTATGAGCTGGAATCACAAATAATTGAAATGGTTGAGAATAAGGGGGCTGATCGCTAGTGGCTGTGGGGTTCCTTTTGGGGTGACGAAGATGTCAGAATGGGCTTGTGGTGACTGGTGCACAGCCTTCCATAGCTACTAAAAGCCACAGAATTGGACGCTTTAAAGTGGTGCGTTTTATGGTACGTGACTTATGTCTCAAATTTTTTTTTTGTTTTGTTTTTTAAAGCTGAGGCTTTTGTCCATGGCAGAGGTCACATTCCGTGTTCCTAGTCCCCGCAGGTCTCTGGTACTTGTATAGGTGCTCATCTGGTGGGCCTAACTGCCCTTCCCGTTTGGAGGCTGAAGGGGGAGACAGGACGCATCCTTGGGCCCCTGGACTCCCTCTGTGCTCCTGAGTTGAGGTCCAGGCTGAAAGCCGTGCAGTGAACCCTTGGTGGAGCAGGACTCCTGGGAGCCCAGGAAGGAGGTACCGTTGCCTTGTGTGCTCCCGTCGGAGCTAGGTGAGGAGAAGTCCCTACCATCCAGCCGCCCCACAGAGAGGGTTTCCTGCAAGCCTTAGCGGTAGTACCAGTCTAGGTCACAGTGAAGCTTGTTGGGGGAGTTAGGTGGAGTGTGGCATCAGGGTGCCACATGACCATAAGCAGGGTTGGCCCCAGGAATGCCCAGCTCTGACTGTGAGGGACTCCAGTGAGCAGTATTGTAAGCCACTGGGTGTTCAACAGAAGAGGACAAGGAAGGGCCCAGCATGCACTGGGGCCTCCCTCCAGAAAGCTATGTGGATCAGGGATGTGTCTCCAGAGACATCTCAGACCCCCCTATTCTGGACTTTGTCATGCCACCCGCCCAATGCCCACCCTGTTGCTGTCTTCTGGATGGCAGCAGATGCCTCCTCCAGGGTCCCCTTGCCTTGCTCTCCGTCCCTGACCCATACCTTAACCAACAGTCACATACTAGTGAAAGGGTGCCTTAGGGACCTGGGTCAGATCTCGTCTCTTGCCTCATTGGACCACTTAGGACTTCCACTGCTCATGGAGGAAGTCTAAACTGCCTACCACAGCTTGAGTGCTGAGGCTCCCCATCTTCCCCCTCCCCCACAGCAGCTGGCTCCATGTCCTTGTGGGGCCCACACCTAGAGGGTCCCCCGCCCACTCCCCCCGCCCCCCGTGCCTGCCTCCGACTTTCGCACTCATGCCCTCATCTTGCTGTCTCTTCCTCAGCTCTTCGTGTGGGCACCACCTCTTTCCTTGTTCGGCATTACTTCAGGAACCTCTGACCAGTCATGCTCAGGGCCTTGGCTACCTGGCAGCTCGTTAGACCAAGGCAGTGGGCGCTGTTCTCTAGGGCACTTGCTGTGTCCTTCTGTTAATGTCTCCTGGCTTCCCTTCTGGACAGTGGACTAGGAAGCACCCTTCTAGAAGTAGAGTGAGGGTGTGCAACTTTGCCAGAGAGGGGCCAGGGCACTTGGGGGCAGCCATTGGCCATGGTTGATCGTGGCTCTCCTGGGCCCAGGAGTGGCTCATCGGCCTTCACATGGCTTCCCATCTAGAGGGCTGTGCTTCCTCTTTGGGCCAGAGAGTTCTGGTTGTCTGAACCCTGAAGGTATAGGGCTCAGGCTGCCAGGCTCCTACCTGGCACCTGCCCCGCCTCAGGGGGTTCTTGGGTGGGATGCAGTATTCCTG